AGCGGAGCCTTATATACCAAAGGCAGGTGTGGTGGAAAAACACCAAGATCAGAAGCCTACCTTCCCAGGGCCCTCCAGCAAAGGGTGGGCCAAAAACAGGAATTAGTCTTTAGACAATAAACAGGAACTTGCATGCAGGCCTAACTGGGAGGAGGGGATGAGAAATGTTTTGCCAAAAACTCCTAGTAACAAGCAGTCAACAGACCCCCATGGGGGAAGGTGCAACACCCAGCTACTATGCAGAGCCTCTGGCAAAGAGAAGGACAGCTTATGCCCTGCCTGGGATGATCCCTTTGAACCAGCTCAAGCTTGTTAGTCTATGGAGTGGTCATTTACTGTCTGTGATTAGCTTCCTTCGGGGTGGGTGGAGGCATTGTTGTTCTCAGCCTTGTTATTCTTGGCTCAGTAAATCCCTGCCAATCGGACTGTCTGGAAATGTAGGTGTGGATGTGTTTGACGGTAGTGACTTATGTTGGGCCAGACCTGGAGTTTTGTGTTGTAATTCATAAACTCTACAACTATGAACCCAATAAGACCTGGCACATAATGGCCTTTCAACAAGGAGTGCATCAAGCAGGGCAGTGGTGGCACAGGCCTTTAATCCCAGCATCTGGGAGGCAGAGGCAGGTGGATCTCTGTGAGTCCGAGGCCAGCCTGGTCTACAGAGATACACAGAGAAACCCTGTCTCAAAAAATCAAAACAAAACAAAACAAGGAGTGCATCAATTTCTTTGGAATACCAGCTCCCAAATAGTGACACTGAGACTTTTTATTATAAAAGGTTGGCCTTAGCTTAGGCTTGCTCCAGCTAGCTCTTAAAACTTAAATTAACCATTTATATTAGTCTATTTTCTGTCACATGACTCATTACCTATCCTCAATACTGTAGGTCTGATTTTATCTGTGTCTGGCTGGAGAATCTCCTGCCTCAGATTCTTTCCCAGAATCTCTGTCTGGAAGTCCCACCTATTCTCTCCTGCCTAGCTATTGGCCGTTCAGCTCATCATCAAACCAATCAGAAGGTGCCTTAGGCAGGTGATGTTAAATAGAGACACATCTGCACACAGTGTATAATAAGATTATATCAACAGTGGTTACATGAGAGCTTCTCCATTTTAATAGTATGAGGGATTGAACTCAGGGCCTCGTGCATGCTTCCGAATGCTCTACAATCAGCTACAACTCCAACCCTTTTGATTTTGAGATAGGTTTTTGTCAAATTGCCCAGGCAGATCTTGAACCTTTGCTATTCCTGTGTTGGCCTCTGGAGTAAGCTTGACTTTCAGGCCTGTGCCATATGTCCTGGCTGCAACTTCAAAGTTTCTTTTGTGATGCATTACTCTAAGTATGATCAGTATACTTGCTCACATAATTCTCAGTTTTCAATATGAATAGCATTGCCTAGATCCAAACCTATCAAGTGTTTACAGCTTACAGATAGATCAGATGGCACCCATTTCCCTGGCTGAGGTATATTTAAGCAGCTCTGCCTTGGAATTCAGTAACTCCACCTCTTATTCCCTCTCCTCTGTTCTGAGTTTTTTACTTGATCAAGTTTCTATCTGTTGCAACCAAAACTACTTGCCCAAGACAGTTACTGGTGAGGAATGTTAACAGATGAGAGTGAAATCCTGACCTGTGGAAGCAGTGAACAGAACAAGAGTGTGGGTGTTGTCAGTTATAATGATGGGACCTACAGCAATGGGGGATTTGGCTTATTGTCACATGGTCTCTGTTCCTCACTTCTAGTAACAGGAACTTTGATTAGCTTTTGGGAAATTACATCCATCCTTTAAGTCTTGATAAACTATTAACAAAAGTTCCCATGACCAAAGCATAAAGAATGGGCATGTTTTCTTCTGGAGCTTCACCCATGTAAGGACTAATAAAACAAAATAAATTTGTCTTTCTTGAAGTTGTGACTCTCTCGGGTATTCAGCTGCAAGCAACAGACAACCTGACTTCAGATAGTGTAATCAAATACAATCTGACTGTTTTGTTGTTGCATCCACAATCCAGAGATAAGCAGTTACTAGCTTCAGTTAAGTTGGTCAACACTGTCTGAGCTGCTGTACTGGTGGTATTCTTGGTCTTTTCCTCACAAACACAAAGTCACTAGAGCTTCCTGCATTGCATCAAGTTTAAGGCAGAAAGAAGTGATGAGAGAACTGTGTTTCAGTTTTCCTTACCAGGAAATTAAATCTGTCTTACAAAACTCCCAACTGTCTTCTTGCTTATATATTCGGTCTGGATCTGCATCCTGTAGCCATGTGAGCTGCAAGGAGGAATGGAGAAAACTATTATTTACTTTCTGCAGCCTCTGTGGGTGTAGGAAGCAAAGGAAAAGGATTGTGATAGGCACAGTCACTGGGATACCAAGCAGCAGCTTCTCCTTTCTAGTGGCTGCACTGACAGCCACACAGCTGACCCTGCTCTATCCACACAGCTGATCCTGCTCTATCTGTCCCTGAGTCCCATAGGTTGCCCTGGGCTTTGCACCTTCCAAATGAAATTCTCAAGCTTCCAAGGTTGTTAAGGTTTCAGTGTGAAACATCCCCCCACAGGCTTGGCTGTAGGATGCTTGATCTTTAGCTGGTGGTGCTATTTTAGGAGGTTCTGGAAACTTTGGGAGGTGGAGCCTTGCTGGAGTAAACAGGACCAGGATTAGCACAGCTAATTGGTTCTAGTTGGTGAGGTTTGCTCGAATGTCTGATCTGCCAGGCTTCTTTACACCCTGTTCACTGAGCTAGCTCTCAGACCTCAGTTTCTTTAACTTGTTAAACAGATAACTTTCATTAACAGTTTTATTAATTTTTATTTTTGCTAATCTGCAAGTAAATGGGAATACATGTAACTAGGAAAACAAGCATAAAGGCTGAACTGTATTTTTTTAGAACATTTTGAAATAGTGGGAATTATGAAGGAGTTGGGAATACCCAAACCATCAAGTCCACATCAGCACAATGGTTAATTCAGATTAGTATATAAAGGGCTGTTTTGTGTTCCTTAGAATAGCATGGCCTTTTGATTATGGCACAAACAACCTCCAATAAGAGTCAGCCTGCTGCCAGGAAGAGGAACTTAGAGACCAGAGGACATGAAGGCAGACTTGGCCTTGCCATAGTAGGACATAGGGTCCCCTTTTAGAACAGGTTCTTGATGTCACAGATGAAAGTGTTAAAAATAAAACACAGAGGGGAACTTGACAACTTATTGGAGTTAGGAAGAGGAAACAATTAGTCAAGCAGCTGCTTGGGGAGTAACAGGGAAAGTTACCCTCTGTGAGTCAGAAGCCAGAAAGTGTCCACATTCCCCAGTGACCATCTGCAAGCAACTGGATGTGATGCAGCTGGAGTATATAAATAGATATTTCACTAATGGGAGAGCTATTCGGCCAATTTCTGTGCCCTTAGGTATACCTACCATATATTTATTTTCATTGCTTAGCTTAGGCTCATCTTGTCTAAGTAATAAAATAGACTTTGTAATAAGTAATAAAATGCTCTTTGATGGAGGAGGCAGAGGAGGGACCCATCTCAAAGGCAGTCTCTTATTTCTGTTTTATAGACACCTGACTTAACAGCTCTGATGAGATGGCTCGTTCACTAAGGGCGCTTACTTATTGATCTTGCAGAAGCCCCTGGGACAGTTCCCGGTACCTACACCCTCTTCTGACCTATATGGACAAGCAACACTTAAATTCATGCACACATACAAAACAAAAAGGAAAGAAAGAAAACTGATTTACAAGTCTAGCAACATGCTAGGTGTGGTGATGCTTGTCTCTAATACCACCAGGCAGAGAGACTGGAGGATTGCTGTACGTTTATGGCCAACCTGGTTCACATAGAAAGTTCTAGGCCAGCTTGGACTACCTTTTGGGGGGGGATTGAGACAGGGTTTCTCTTATAGTTTTGGAGCCTGTCCTGGAACTAGCTCTGTAGACCAGGCTGGCCTCGAACTCACAGAGAACCTCCTGACTGTGCCTCCTGCATGCTGGGATTAAAGGCTTGTGCCACCACCGCCAGGCTGTCTTGGACTACCTTATCTCAAAAACAACAACAACAACAACAACAACAACAAAAAACAAAAGCAAACAGCGTCTCCACAATCAAACGTCTTGCCCAAGGCTACCAGTTTACCCAAACTCAAGACTTATCCTTTGCTGTTCCACCCCATCTATTTAGCATATGTATTTACACACACAACTTTCTCTCTCTTTTTTTTTTTTTTTTTACACAACTTTCTCTTATGGAGCTGAGACTGATGGAGCTTGCCTGGCCCCCACCCACCCCTCTTTATTCATGCTGGTGATCATTACAAGAACGTCCTTAAGGAAATTGACCTCCCCTTAGTTAATTAGTAACTATTTCATAGAAGTGAGCTGGGCAGAGCATCTAGCTCTCAGGAATGGATGTGGTGTTTGGGTGGCTCCATGAGGGATTTCCTTTTGGTGTTAAACTGCCTGTCAGCTCCTGATAACTAGAAGAGAATTAAACGGCATCTCATTTAGAAAAAAAAAGTTTGCTTCAGAGTCATTAAAATCCAGGCTGCTTCCCCCTTTCCAGAATCTTCCACAGCGTCTCTAAATTTATCAGAAAAAATTCCTCTTTTCCCTCCGTAGAAAATGAAGTCAGCCATCCATTTCCTCAGTTTCCTTTAGTCAAGTGTGCTAGGACCTGGTTGTTGGAAAATGTTTTCTGTTCTCCGATAAAAGGAGTGGAAGGCTGAACTTCTCTGGCAATCTTGGCCAACTCCGTGTGTAGTATTAGTACGCAAAAGCAGCAGAAATCGAATTGAAGGGCGCTGGGAGGAGCCTAGGGCGGAGACGAAAGTGTGCAGCGAAGAGCCGCAGCTGGGACCAACAAAGATCAAAAATGGACCTGGCTTTCTGCCCAGGCGGCTCGCGGGGCGGGGCCTCTGCTCTCTAGAGCCCCGCCTTCTCGGGGCGGGGCGAGAGCGAAGGGTGGGGCCGCGCTCCGTCGGGGCGGGGCCTGTGGAATCTCCGAATTCCACAAGACACGGGGCTTTGGCGCGCGTCTCCCGGCGCGGGGTTCCTCTCACGCAGCCTCCCATTCAAAAGATGCCGAAGGGGCGGCGCGGCAGCCAGAACCCCAAGATGAGCCAGCGGCCGGCCCCACCCCTCTACTTCCCGTCTCTCTACGACCGGGGCATCTCGTCGTCTCCGCTGAGCGACTTTAACATCTGGAAGAAGCTCTTTGTGCCGCTGAAGGCGGGCGGGGCGCCGGCGGCAGGGGTGGCGGGGATAGCGGGAGTCCGACCCCTGCCCCTGGCACCCCCAGTCACGGTGCCGCCGCCGCCGCCTGGCTTGGGTCCCCCCAGCGAGCGCCCGTGCCCTCCGCCTTGGCCGTCCGGCCTGGCCCCTATCCCCTACGAGCCTCTGCGCTTTTTCTACTCGCCGCCGCCGGGACCCGAGATGGCAACTTCAGCCCTGGTCCCCGGCTCCACGACCCCCTGGCTCGCCTCCGCCTCCCACCCTGAGGAGCTGTGCGAGCTAGAGATCCGGATTAAGGAGCTGGAGCTGCTCACCATCACTGGAGACGGCTTCGACTCCCAGCGCTGTGCGTGACCGCCAACCCAGCCCAGCCCTAGCCATTCTTATTGCCCACTAGAGTACTTAAGGCACCAGAATGTGACCCCAGACTGTCCCCAGCCCTAAGAGTCCCACTTCTAAAGTCTGCCCTCCAGAGGTCCAGGCCCCCACGTGCTGAATTTCAACCGACCCCTGCCTCAGCACACAAGTCCGAGCTAATCAAGTCCTTTAATTTTGAACTCCACCCCTCAGGGGCTCGCCCTAGAGGAGGCAGTGTAGACTCTGGGTCTTGACACCTGAAGCATCCCTTTCCTTCACTTCAACTTCCTACACTTGTGTAGTCTGGAGCTCCACCCACCACAGATTGCCTAGCTCCAGAAATTTTAACCTTCACTCTTCAGTCTTAGGAGATGGTAGGAATTGCCCAAACTTTGAAGGCCCTCAGTCATTCACTGAGGAGCCCTGGCCTCTGCCCTTCCACGGGCCCCATGCCCTATAGCCCTCCGACGGGATCTTGAACTCTGACTCTGATCTTAGATCTGAGGGCTTAGGGATCTACACCAGAGCAGACCAAGTGCATTGGTGTAAGCAGGGGTCCTCTGGTACATGAACGGATTCCTCTCTGTTGGACAGCAAGGCAGTTAAATCCAGCTGCATTTCCAGAAGGAATTAGTAGCTGTAGACTGCCCTTTTTCATCATCTGTCCTAAGGCTTGAATTTGACTACTAGAAGAGGGCAGATGGCACTGGAAAGACCATTTCACCTGTTCTCTACACAGGTGAAAGGGCTCCCCTCTGCCACACAGGAAGGTGAAGTGTGCAAAAAACAAGACAGACCCATGCACTTAGTTATGCATGGCCATGGGAACGGTCTCCAACTTACTGTTACCCTGTAGAATACACTTTTTTGTAGCCATGGGAGACAAAGTCCCTAGTACTGACCTTTTCAGTTACATGAGTTAGGTATGTTTGAGCTTAGGATAGTGCACAGTGACTTCTCAGAAGCTTGCTCTGGAAGTTAGAAGATCCCTCCTCAGAGCAGACAGAGGTGGTGCACACCTGGAGTCCCAGTACTTAGGAGGCTGAGGCAGAGGGATCAAGAGTTCCAGAACAGCCTGGAGCTACATAGGAAGACCCTGAAAAAAAAAAACCAAACCCTTCCCAGCCACAGTTGAGTCTGTTTTGCTCTCCTGCAGATAAATTCCTGAAGGCGCTGAAAGATGAAAAATTACAAGGACTGAAGACGACCAGGCAACCTGGAAAGTCGGCCTCCGTCTCCTGAGGAGCTGCCCTCCAGGGCTGGGCAGCCACCTCCTTAGGTGTTAGTGCTTAGATAATGTGTCCTGTTTGTTGTCATTTCAAAGATGGTTATTTTCTGTTCTGTATTTACTCCTGTTATTGTTGCTCCCAGCACATCCTCACATACAGTGCCCACTTGCATGGTAAATCTCATGGCCTCTCTTCTCTCTGCTGATGCTGGGGGACCTCCCTCTTGGGATGTAGAGTTGCTATCTGGCCCCCTCTTCAGAGTCTCCTGTGGCTCAAGGAGGGGACCCAAGACTGCTACTGCCAGGCCCACCAGACTGGCCCATGTGTGGGAGAGACTCAGAGCATGGACAATAAATACTGGCCTGATGTTGCCTCTCAGCCAGAAAGATCCTTTGAGGACTAGAACTAAAATTAGAATTTTAGTTGCCCTTCATCCCAACATTTGTTTTTCAAAAGAATATTTTTTGAACCACAAAACTCTGGTAATCTTAGCAAAGACATGATCCTTCTAAGAAATTCACACACAACATTCAAGAAGGATTTATCAAGTGCTTATTATATGCTTAGACCCCCACCAAAGCTCTTGGAGTTGGGAATGGGGAAAAGATAAAGTGGGAATATAAATGAGTGAACTACAAGATGGCGTCACAGAAGACAACATGCCAAACAAGGAAAAGGAGAGCACAGTAAGGATAGCCAGACTACTCTAAGGAGGACGGGTGGGGTTTCAAACAGGGTTTCTTTGAAGACAAGGCATATTTAGTTACTGTTTTGTGATTGAGACTGTGTACCCCAGGATGACCTTGACCTCCAAATCTTCCTGCACTTGCCTCCCAAGTACTGGGATTACAGGTATATGCTACCAAGTTTGTTCAAGAGGTAGCATTTAAACAATGCTGGGAAGTGGTTTGAGGTCGTAACCCTAGTGGGGAATGTTCCAGGTAGACGGGTCAATGCAAAGGCTTACAGTGGGGAGCATGCTAGCATTAATGAGTCCTAACAAATAGGTGAGATGGCAGAGCAGAATGGGCGAGGGAAGAGGGGTAGGGGTGAATGTGGAGGAACTCATTCATGTAGTTCAATAAGAGCTCATTTTTTTTTTTGTGAAACAAAATTTTTAGTTACATTTTTTCATTTTACATACTAGCCCCAGTTCCTCTCCCTCCCCTTCTCCTGCCTCTCCCACTTCCCCCTCCCACCCCCACCCATCCTACCTCCTCCTAGGGGTAAGGGCTCCCTTGAAGAGTCAACAAAGTGATATATCAAGTTGATATAGGACCAAGCCCCTCCCACCCTGTATCAAGGCTGAGCAAGGTATCCCACAATAGGGAGTGGGCTCCAAAAGGCCTGTTCATGTAGCTCGAATAAATCCTGATCCCACTGCCAGCCCCCCCCCCCCAACAGATCAAGCCACATAACTGTCACCAACATTCAAAGGGCCCATGCAGGATCCCCAGCTGTCAGTCCAAAGTCCATGAGCTCCCACTAGCTCAGGTCAGCTGTCTCTGTACAAGACAAGAACTCATTCTGTTAGCCATGGCCAGGCCACAAGGTTGTTGTGATTTTCAGCTAAGGAATAACCAGGGCTATAGGTTCTCCTGCTGCTACACTGTGAATTAAGGAAGCAGCGAGGGCACTTAGCAATCAGTAACTCAGCTGAGAGTGCTGACAGCAATGTGTGTTGAGAAACTATCAGACCATCATTCATGGAGTCACTGGTTTGAGCTGCAGCCACAGGTGGGACAGGTTCAGGGGAAGATGCGTAATTTAGTCTGAAGTGCGTAGTGGAGGGTTGTATAGCTGTGCGATACATGAGCCTGGAGCCTGTACAAGGCCTTTGCTGAGGTACAAATTAAGGAGTTACTGATGTGGCCATGTAAGACCGAATAAGGCCTCCACTGACTGTAGTGAATTTAGGGAAAAACAGAATACATTTCAAAGTATCCCTGACCCATCAATCGGAAGTCCAAAATGCTCCAAAACCTAAAACTTTGACCACCAACTCAGCTAAGTGTTACATCATGAAACTTTTGTTTCATGCATGAAAGTATTTAAAATATTGTCTAGGATTACTTTCAGGATGTGTGGATTATCTATAAACAAAAAAATGAATGAATTTCATACTTAAACTTGGGCCCCATCCCCAAGATAAGTAAGTATGCATTGTACATTTTCAAAATCAAGAGGAGGAGGAGAAGAGGGAGAGGAGGAAGATCCCAAATAAATCCGTGACACGTCTGGTCCCAAACATTTTGGCTACTGGAGAGCTCTGAGCCTGGAGGCACTTTGGTTGAGGAAAAGGTGCAGAGCCTTGAAAGAATTAGAAGGTCATTAGCCCCGAGTCAGTTGTGGTGACATCAGCAGAGGGAGCATGAGGTGACATCAGCAGAGGGAGCATGAGGTGACATCAGCAGAGGGAGCATGAGGTGACATCAGCAGAGGGAGCATGAGGTGACATCAGCAGAGGGAGCATGAGGTGACATCAGCAGAGGGAGCATGAGGGAGGTGGGTGACCCACCTAGCAGACAGTGCTGTGTGGGACTGGCATGGCAAGGTGGCTCAGTGGGTAAAGGCACTTGCCACCAAGCCTGGCAGCCCGAATTTGATCCCTATGTCCCACAGATGGAAGGAGAGAACTGACTCCTAAAACATGTTCCTGACTTCCACACACAAGGTGTGGCACATGTACACCCACACAAACACACACACACATAAACATAGTTTTTTAATTTTAAAAAATTAAAACAGTTTTTAAATTAAATGTAACACTGACATGGCAACAAGGAAAGCCAAAAGTCCAGTCAGATTTAGTAGCACACAAAAATAGTGATGCCTTTTGGAGCAATTTCGGTTGAGCAGTAGGACCATGGCCTGACTGGGGTAAACGTAAGGCTGGGAGCAGGTGGATCGGAGCCGATGGGTGCATGGCCACTCCTTGGCTTTGGCTGCAAAGGGAAACAACTGGATCCCATGTTAGTGGAGCAGGAAGATAAGACTTGATTAAGAGGGGAAAATGGCTGCATGTTTGTGTAATGTGTACTCTTCCCGCCAGCCACCTGGGTCCTGTAGCTGTCTCAGCCCCTAAATAACACACGACACACTATAATAATTATGAAGCTGTTGGCTGTTTGCTTGGTTTTTTATCTACTATCTCTGGCTTAATTATTAACCCATAACTGCTAATCTGAGTATTTCCACGTGGTCTTCTCTTACCGGAGAAAAGGGTCCGGACCTCTTACTCCTCTGGTGTCCTACATTGTGACTGCTTGTGCCTCTGTTTCCCAGAATCCTCCTCAACTCCTAGTCCCACCTATCTTGCTTCCCTATTGGCCAACCAAAACAGGGGCTGGGGAGATGATGGGTCAGCGGCTGAGAGTGCTTACTGTGGACACATAAGGGTCTGAATTTGGATTCTAAGCAGTCACAGAAAAAGCTGGGAACAGACACAAGTGCTGGCAGTAAGGGGCAAACAAGAGAACTGTTGGGCTGGTTGACCAGCCAGTGTAGCTCTGGGTTCAGCAAGAGAGCCTGTCTCAAAGGAATAAGGCAGAAGGATAGTGCAGGGTACCCGATATCTTCCTCCACACTCTCTGTGCATATCAGCATACCTAGGCATCCACACGCACATATATACGTAGATACACACAGACACACATTATACAACACACACACACCAAAGCCTAACAAAACACCCCCAAAACAAAACAATTTGTGTGTCACACAATGCAAGGACAGTTGACATTTCTTCTGAGGAATTCCGACCTCCTCCCAGATGTTCTCCTTGTGCTCTTGGGCTGGCAGGTGACACAGCAGGTCATGGAGGATGGTAAGGCAGGCACTTGCTTGGTCCTGACCCCTCAGTGCCCATACACAGCAGCCGATATAGTCAGAGTGGGTGTAACCTTCCTCTCTGATAGCGTGGACCTGCCCTCCCTAGACCCGGCAGACACAGTTGACTTCATCCCCACCCAGCAGCACAGGCCTGAAGACTGCAAAAGACATGTAGGCTGGCATCTCAAGTATGGTTTTTCTGTGCCTGGAGCTGTTGTGGACAGTTGGAGGCATTTAGTGGATGACAGGGAATCAAAGCCATCAAAGAAGTGTGGTGGCCTATTGTGATATCCCCATGGCACAGGTCCTTCTAATGCAAATGCCGGAAGAGGAATGCACACAACACAGGGAGGTCACAGGAGGTGTGTGGGTCCAGACAGGGTGCCAGATTTGGAGATCTTCTGCACACTATATACTTTAAAGCAATATAATCAGAGCCTTCTTACCTACTGTCACTTTCTAGACATTGCACGTTGTTTTAAAGCTTTTTAAATGGGTATTGAACTTTATCCTCAGAATGATCTTTTTTTTTTTTTTTTTTTTTTTTTTTTGGTTTTTTCAAGACAGGGTTTCTCTGTGGCTTTGGAGGCTGTCCTGGAACTCACTTGGTAGTCCAGGCTGGTCTCGAACTCACAGAGATCCACCTGCCTCTGCCTCCCGAGTGCTGGGATTAAAGGCGTGCGCCACCAACGCCCGGCCTCAGAATGATCTTGTAAGGGAGAGAGGCTGGTTTTAGAGGTTGCCCAAAGGTGAGACACTCAGAAGTAATTCATACCACTATGGTACTGTTGCTAGTAGATAGTTTAGACTTGGGGCTGGCTCCAGAGCCTGTGTTCTGACTGCCAAGACCCTTGTGGACATCCTGGACAGGTGTGTGGTGAGTACAGATGGCCGTCGGCAGGAAACAGCGCTGCACTTATGTTGGTTTGTGTATGTGAGTACATGTATGTGCATGCCTTTATGTGTGCACAGGTGAGTATAGATGCACATGCCAGAGGTCAAGCTCAGGTGCCATGTACTTTAGGTATTTTTTATTTAATTTTATCTTAAATGTTTCATATGTATGGGTATTCTGCCTGCATGTACGTGTTTACTCCCCCGGAACTGAAGTTACAAGCATACAAACAGTTGTGAGTCAGTACGTGGGTTCTGGGAATTTGAACCTAGGTCCTCTGGAAGAGCAGCTAGTGCACTTTACCACCAACTCAACTTTCCAGCCCCTTTACCTTCTATCATTTTTAATTTTTCTTTTGGCTTTTCAAGACATGGCTTCTCTGTGTAGCTTTTGGGCCTGTTCTGGAACTTGCTCTGTAGACCAGACTGGCCTCGAACTCAGAGTTCTGCCTCTGCCTCCCGAGTGCTGGGATTACAGGAGTGTGCCAGCACTGCTTTTGAGACAGGATCTGGCTTGGGGCTGGGTTGGGTAGGAGAGGTGCCAGTCAGCTGCAAAAGAGTCATTGAAACTGCCTTTTCAATCAAGGGTTCTGGGGCCTGGACTCAACTGACCCGTCTGTTGGGGACAGTCAATGTAAGACCAGGGATGCTTA